AAAAAAAAAAAAAAAAAAAAAAAAAAAAAAAAAAAAAAAAAAAAAAAGGCTTCTGTGGCTGGAATTTACCTAGGGAGCCCATTCAAAAAGCTTCAAATAACAAACGGAAATAAGGCAATGGGCACATAGAGGAAGTGATGAAGCTGGCTTTTATGGGAATAAACCTTAGGTGTCAGGCCCTGTCCCTGAATTTACCCTCTGGCCTGCTCTGGGGCACAGCCAGTCTCCAAACCCTCAGGACGGGTACATTTAGAAACCAGCTTCTTCTGGGCCACCAAGAGGTGGACAAGATGCGAGGAAAAGAAGGCTATCTAGATAAACCCCACCTTCTTTTGGCTCTGGATACAAAGTCAAAGATGGAGGCTAGGGACCCTGGGGAATACCACTCTTTCTCCTCCTCCTCCTGCAACCCAGGGTGGAGGTAAGTTATTGGCTGTGGCTTCCCAGACAGGTCCTGGCATCCCCTCCATGAAGTCAAGCACACTGGGGTTCTGTCTTTGGGCAGAGTAGTCCCTTGTTCCTTGATTCTGCATCCAGTATCACAGTGCCCATTCCATGGGATCCCAATTCGGCCACAGAAACTCTACACATCATTTTGGTGGCACCAAAGACCATGAGCCGACATGACATGTGAGCTCCACACAAGCCTCCACCCAGCTTTGGCTGTGCTGGCTCGTCTTATGTCAACTTGACATGCAAACTAGTCATCTGAAAGGAGGGAGCCTCAATAGCAAAAACGCCTCTATATGATCCACTGTATAATATTTCTTAACTAACCACTGAGGGGGTGCCATTGTCAGGGGTGCCATCCCTTGGCTGATGGTCCTGGATTCTACAATAAAGCAGGCTGAACAAGTCACAGGAAGCAAGCCAGGAAGCAGCACCTCTTCGTGGCCTCTGCATCAGCTCCTGCCTCCAGTTCCCTGTCCTGCTTGAGTTCCTGCCCTGATTTCCTTTGGTGATGAAACAGCAATGTGGCCATGTAAGCCAGATAAGCCCTTTCCTCCCCAACTTGCTTATTGGTCATGGTGTTGCATCGTAGCAATAGAAACCCTAACTAAGACAGGCCATCACACACATACCCCTCAAGTCAGTGTCTGCACGTAATAGACTACTTTCCTTGGTGTCCAAGGCCTTTTCCTGGACAGCTGGGGTAGAGGAGCAGGACTCCAACTCCTCTTTCCCGAATCCTTACAGCCTCCTGAGGGCAGCAAGGACCAGGTACACGCTTTGCTTAGCACATGTGTGGACTGGTGAGCTGGCAAACTGGCTGGCGGTCTAGAGGGTTGGGTACCTACCCACATGGAGTGGTTCAAGAATGTGGGCACAGGTGTCTTGTCAGCCATCTTTTTATACTCCCATTCTGCCTGTGGGTGTTTGATCATACAGCCCTACACATATATTCCTCCAGGCCTCTGAGACATCTCCGGGACTATGCCATCGTCATGGTGACTGTGATGATGTCAGCTAACTTTACTACTGAAAATGCAAAATGCATTAGGCGCTGTGCTACATAGACTCTCCATAAATGACCTCGCTTTATCCTTACAAGCCACCTGGGACACAGCCACTATGTCTGTCGCATTACCGTCTACTAGACCAAAAACTTGAGGGATGGTCTCCCTTGCTTAAGGCCCCTAATAGGGTAAGCAGTAGAGCAGCCATAGCCCAGACTGATCTCACCTACCAAGACACTCACCTGGCAAAGCATACCTGGCACTAGGTACTGTGTTGGAGAAATGTTTCCATGCCCTATACCAGCATGAAGGACACCATCCTATCTTGTCTGCCATCTGCTTGTCAGGCAACTGAGTTCCTGAAGCTGAGCTCCAGACAGGGGTATGGTTATGTGGCTTACAGACTAAACTAACACAGCTGAGAGAGATTCTGGGCTCTACTTACCTTGGTCTGGGTTGAAGATCCGGAAGACATCAGGGCAGCTTACAAGGACCATCTCGCCTATTTGAGCAGGCTTCCAGCATGTGATATTGTCCCACATGCCAGGACAACCTGGAGGAGAGAGCTACCGTGAGTGTGTGCCTAGCCATATACACACCACATGTACACAAGTGTACATATACCACAACCAGACACAAACACACTATACACCACAACATACAACACATACTATAGATGTGAACACACATATGCCCCTCCGTAATGGTAAAATATCAACTTGACTTGATTTAGAATCACCTAGGAGATGGTGAGACACTCCTCTGGTGATGGGGAGGACATCTCCAGAGAGGATTTACTAAAGAGCAAAGATCCATCCTGAATGTGGATGATATATTATCTGTGGGTGGGCTGGTATCCTGGGAAAAAATAAAGCGAAGGAAGGAGGAAGCTAGTGGGGTGCTAGCATTCCCCATTTCTTTGCTTCTTAGGCCCTATAACATGAGCTGAGCTCCTCTACTGGGCCTCCCCAACCACAAACAACACTCTAGAAACCATGAGCTAAAATAAATCTTCCCTTAAGTTATTTCTATTAGGTATTGCAATTGGGTGATAATAATGGTAAATTACAGCCACAAACCATATGCAAGTAACACACACACACACACACATTTTGAATAAACTGCTCAGAAGTTGGCCTTTGTAGGAGGCAAACAGTTTATGAGAATAGAAGGGATGTCTTCCTGGGTGGGGAAAGCTGGCTCCTGCACCTGGAACAGCGCTCCAGGAGTAGTTCAGAAAGCCACTGTGGGAGCTTCAGAGCAGGAGGCTCTGTGGAGAGCCCCCTTCATGCCACAGTTCACCTGAAGCCTGCCAGACTCCTGTGTTCCCCGAGCCTCCCCACCACTGCAGGATCTGGCCTCAGATTCACATCCACAGTGAGTCTCACTTCTCCATGGGAAGTGGGGTTGAGGCCAGACCAGCTGGCCTGAGGCTGCACCCCACAGCCCACCTCCTTCCCGGCATAGGCTTGGAGCAATGATCTACCACCCACAAAGCTGGCCTGTGAAGTGAGGTCACAGCTCCCCCAGCCGAGAGGATGGAAAGTGTCCAGGCAGAAGCTCGGACGTGACCACAGAAAGACTTGGAACAGGAAGAGGTGATGGAGGCAGAGTCCTTGAGGAGGCTAAGGTCAGAGCCTTGTTGTGGGGATTGGCTGGCAGAGGGGAAGGGAGCAGTACATAGCGAGACTTCAGAATCCCCAAGTCTTCCTGGAGCGAGCAGTGAGGAAGAGTATGTCAGGCTCGCCTAGCTCTGATTTGGGAGGTTTTGGTAGCTCCTGGGATCCCTGTCCTTGTGTGGATTCTCTTCCCTTGTGGCCACTATCTCCTCTCTCTCTCTCTCTCTCTCTCTCTCTCTCTCTCTCTCTCTCTCTCTCCAGCCCTCCTTTGCACACTGCAGCAGCACTCAAGGTCAACAGCAACCACTTCGCTGCCAAATCTGAGGAACAATTTCAACTCCAGCCAGGTTGTACTCTGCCCACCTGACTGGCTACAGATTCTGGAAGTCATTCTGTCTTGGGCCGCCTGCCCACTCACCTTGGATGAGCTCATCCCGCTCAGGGACTTAACAGAATGATGTGCAGGCATTTCTAGTCTTTGGCCTCCAGCAGCTTTCTGGGCTGATCCCCAAGGTTAGTTACCAGCTGCCTGTTCCCACTTTGAGGGGCCAAAGGCAAGTCAAACACAGGATTTCTGGACACCACCTAGACCCTCCTATAACATGGTATCTGTTTCAGCCCAGCTGGAATGGAGAGGGAGTCACTCACTCCATGTGGATCTTGAGCATCATCTAGCCCTCCTTGGTTCCCTCCAGATACCACTGGAAACTATCAGCCTCCACTGGACTCACAGGCTCCTCCTAGATCTCCCTTAGCTAGGACCAAAATCTTTTCAAATTGCGCAGCTCAGTGACCCCCCCCCCCACAACAACAAGTAAAATCTATGTTACTCCTACCCCAACTCATAAGCATGATGCCTGTTGTCCCTGCCCTGCCTACTTAGCCCTGTCCCTACCTAGCCTGCCAGGCTAAATTCTCCTTAAGCACATGAGTAGTGAGACATGTCCTTTTGGTTGTGAGCCTAGCCTTTAAGGGCTGAGCCATTTCTCCAGACCAGGAGCCATTTCTCCCAAGGAAAGGATGATGATGATGATGATGAGGAGGAGGAGGAGGAGGAGGAGGAAGAAGAAGAAGAGGTAAGGGAGGGGGAGGGGAGGGAGAGGGGAGGGGAGGACGAGGACGAGGAGAAGGACAAGGAGGAGGAGGAGAAGTGAGAAGGAGGGAGCCCAGGATATACCACACACAGGGGTCAACAAAGGCAGCACGTATAGTGAATAGCAGAGAATGGGCGACAACAGTGGAGGGGTCCGGAGATAGGTTCAGAAGCAGGTCAGACAGCAAAAGAGAGCTTTGGGAAAGGAACCTGTCCTACAGAGGGTCTACAGATGGAAGAACTTTAGTGTTCCCATAAGGAAAGTGAGTGACTGCCCACGCCCCACCTCCCAGGACTGCTAGGGGGACTAGCCAGTTCCTATGCGGAAAGGTCTATGATCAGCACCACACTGGGTCCATGCATGTTGGTTGTCACTGGCTTTAGTTTTGTTATTTCAATTAGATGTTCCTCAAATCACTCCTTCGAGGGGGAGCCCTACTGAGGAGATAGAAGCTCAATGACCAGATGCTGACAGGCTCAGAGGAAACCTGAGCAGGCATAGGGGTGGCCTGGGCAGGCTTCATGACAGCATGGTTCCTCTGTCATAGTCATGACTTCTGGCAGCCCACGGTATTCTCAGTTTCTAGGTCTCTGAGAAGTTAGACCCTGCTGCTTTGGCATCCACACTAGTACACTGGCCTGTGACATCCTGCCCATGGAATGACATCCTCTAGGAGTTAGCGAAATTGCTAAAGCTCTATATGCTGAGTCCAAGTGTACAGAGACTCAGAGGACCAGAGGAGGAAAGTCACCTATGTCCCAAGAGGCCATTATCAAGGATTCCTGTCCACCCAGGATGTCTATCCAGCACACAGTTGGCTGTGACATCATGTCCTTGAAAGAGACCCAACAGCACATCTTTGGCTGCCATGGTCCGTGCTAACTGTGAAATACCCATGGAGCATGACCATGTCTGGCCCATACCCCAGAAGCCCTGGCCAGCAGATGTTCCCATAATTGGAGCATTAGGCCCTGGCACAACCAGCTGCTCCTCTAGCTGATAATGCTGAGGCAAGGGGGCCACATAGAGGGCACCAATGTAAGAGCTGAGGGGCAAGGAGTGGCAGCAGCCAGGATCCTGAGCTGGGGACCAGCGGCGGAAGCTCGATAAGTAATTCATAGCCTTAATGAAAGCTTTACCAGTGACTTCACTGTGCCCGGTGGACATGAAGCTCACAAGAAGATAAAGCTGTAGGAAGGGCAGGGCATCCCTTTTGAATCTGCCTAGAAGAGCCCAGACTTATGATATGGTCTCCTCCACTGTGATTCAAAGACTAGTGTCAGAGCAAGGGCCAGGTGTCTGTTGGTACCCCCCAACTATAAATGGCTGGATCTGGAATCTGGAACAGAGAGATCACAAGGGAGCTCTCAGGGATGGCAAGAATCACTGGGACTACTTTGTGGTGTATCTGCCAAGTTCCTTGCCCAGGGTTTCCAATGGTGTACCTGTCACAAGCCTGGAATTTCTCCCAGTCCTTCATTTTGTCCCCAGTTTTGTCTTCTCACAAGGCCAGGCTATCAAGAAAGCCCAGAAAAAAAGACCTCCAGGACCCCAGGACCTACAAGGACCCTCCACCTATAAAGACTCACCACCTTTAGGCAGGACAGGAGGTGGACTCATAAGAGGCCTTTAGGTTTTCTGACTGAGGACAGAAACGTACATCCCCACCACACACAGAGTGAACACGTGCAGTTTCCACAGCTCAGAGCAGTTGATTTTGTGCTAACTGAAGCCTTCACAATGCCTGTGCTCCTGCACGCTCCTCTCCTTTTCTCTCCCTTTCCTACTTTTCCTTCTCATTTGCTCATTAATTCAAAAGAGATTCAGTGAAGACATAATGAGTTCAGCAGTGCAGATGAAGCAAAAGCAGCCAGTCTGGGCCTCACAGAGTTCACAATGGTCTGGAATGCTTTGCTGAGTGAGTGAGATGCTAGTTTCCTATTGGGGCTGGAGGTTTATAAGGAAATTAAGCATCTTTGGGCAGCACATGTTACTATCATACCATCCTGGAGGAAGGAGGCCTGAAATGAGTCTCCCCTAGCTCATCTAGCAAGACTGCTAGAGGCTTGAGGGGATGAACCTTTCAATAACCCCAGATTCAAGAGGTCACCAGTTGGCTTCTGTTCCTTCCCCCTGGCTTCAAAATTAAGAGCTTTGGTATCTAAGCCTCCTCAACTCTCCCTTCTCCTCTCATGTTTAAAGGCTTTCATGATCACTCTACATTCATCCAAGTAACCCAAGGCCCTCTCTCTATCACCAGATCATGGGAAGATGCCCTTTGTCAGGTAAGGTCACACATTTGCAGGTGTCAGGGACTGAGAGGGAAGAATGTGTCCCTAGAAGGTAGCAGAGAATCTTTCTGTGTCTGTCATAGAGGATATTTAAGATACTATCCAGGTGATCTAGTTTTGTGGATCAGAGATATAACACATTGCCAAGAATGGGACATAAAGTCATGCCAAGATCTGATGGTAGCCCAGGGATCACAAAGGAATTGATTCAGTACTAAGTGACAATGGTCTTGTACCCTATAACGATTTGACACTTGTATTGGTTTAATAAAATGCTGATTGGCCAGCAGCCAGGTAGGAAGTATAAGTGGGGCAACCAGAATAGAATTCTGGGAAGAGGAAAGGCTCAGTCTGCAGTTGTCACCCAGACACAGAGTAAGCAAGATGAGAATGCCTCACTGATAAAAGGTACCAAGCCACGTGGCTAAGACAGACAAGAATTATGGGTTAATCTAAGATGTAAACATTAGTTAATAAGAAGCCTAAGCTATTGGCCAATCAGTGCTGTAATTAATATAGTTTCTGTATGATTATTTGGGTCTGGGCAGC